GGCGGCAGCAGCGCGTACCACGTAGGTATCACTTCAATTCCTCAGCAGAGGTGCTGCATGGCTTCTCCTTGCTGCTAGAAACCATCCCATGGGGGCTCCACTGGAATCCTAAGGAGCTACTCGTTACCTGGGGTCATCCAGTTCTCGTTGCATGCCCGTGGTGCTGCACGGGGGAGCCTGGCTGGATTCTTGGACCAAGTTTCTTCTTGGCTGAAGAAACGAGGCATGTGATCCAGCCCTGCTTTGGGGAGAGTTTGGAGCAAGTAGTGAATTGGTGTGGCCCCCCCAAGGAATGTGGCAGGGTGGAGAGGTGGGATCCAGCGGTGAGGGCGCACAATCTTCCGATTGTGCCCCTTGAATTGGCAACGTGAGCTGCCAGGGGAAGAGATTAGCCAGGAAACTATGCGCTGAGTTTGCAGGGCTTTTCAGATCAGCGTGCTAATCTCCGAGCAGCACCGGCAGGCGAACACCTCGGCCTGACCGAACACACCCAGAGGCTTTGTGGGGAATAAGATGGAATTGGACAGTTTCGGCTCAAAGCTGAAGCTTTTCCTCATGGGTGCTGGTGCCTGCCTCCTCCCAGCCCTGTGCTGTCAGCTCCCCAGCTGATCCCGAGGCTAAATCCACCTGCAGAAGAACTGAGATGCCTGGGTACAAGAAACGCACCCAGCCTTGGAGACACCTAATGAAGAGGTGCTTGCAAGACAAGGCTTGCAGGGAGGAGTGATCCTCTTTTAGACCACCTTGGGAGGATTTCGTAGAGTTTGGCACAGTAACGCCGAGCTGGGGATAGGCAGGGACTCTGGATAACCCAATGTATTAATCATCAAGACAATCTGAAGGAAAAGGGAGGTGAAAGCTGGGAGGCAAAGAGACGAAGTGCTCCATTGGGCAAACAGTGAGCCAGCCAGCTTGGGGGGCAGGAGGGAGCCACCTCTGGAGCTGCTGTGCCTTCTCTGCAGCCCACAGGGGAAGAATTCATCTGTTCTTCATCCCCACTGCAGGATGTCATTTCTGCTAGCTTGCCCCAAGTGTCTTTTGTGCCCACCTCTTGCGGCCCTTACCTTTGCTTGGTTTAATCATCTCCCCTTGTACCCTGTATGGGGTGAACAAGGAGGGCGGGTGGTGGTGGTCCTGCTGACCCAGGCTGGGTGGGCAACTGGGGTCTCTCAGGGGACCAAATGTCTGTGTTCAGCAGGGTGTTGCTCCTTTTGCCGTGCAGCCCCCCATTCCCACCAAAAACCTCTCCTTGCCTGGATGAGGGGCTCCAGCAGGGCCGGGAGTGTGCAGCAAGTGGGGGGGCACCAACCTCCTGGGCAATCAAGGCAATGAGAGCTTGCCAGACCTCTGCTCGCAGCCCAGCAGGGTTGTCCTTTGTCCCCTGACAGTATCTGCTCTCTGCAGGTCTTCACGACTCCAGCACAGCAACCGGTGGCCACCCCTCTGATGACCCCCAGTTACTCCTACACTACCCCCAGCCAGCCCATTACAACGCCCCAGTACCAGCTGCAGGCCAACACCACACCCCAGTCCACCCAGTCCCAGACACAGTCCCAGCCATCGTCCAGCTCCAGGCAGAGGCAGCAGCCAAAGTGAGTGACTCCGGGTGCACGTATCTTTCTGTGCCCCGTTTTAATTACTTTGATTGATTGTTATGGAACCAGCGTGGTGGGGTTGCCTCGCGCCTTCCCACCTGGGACTTTTGGGAAGGGAGGGAGGGCAGGGAGTCTGTCCCGTTGGTGTGACTCACCTTCTGCCCGTGTCACTGCAGGACCAACAGTCACGCCGCGATCGACTGGGGGAAGATGGCCGAGCAGTGGCTCCAGGAGAAGGAGGCTGAACGCAGGAAACAGAAGCAGAGGTTGACTCCTCGCCCGTCTCCCAGCCCCATGATCGAGAGCACGCCCATGTCCATCGCCGGGGACGCCACGCCGCTGCTGGATGAGATGGATCGATAGGTCGTGCTGGACCTGACCCCCTAACCCTCTGCTCTCTTCTCTAGGAAGGGGAAGGGAGAGTGAACAGTTGAGGACAACTTCCCTTCCCTTAGCCACGTAACTCCTGGTATTAAACGTCGTGAGATGGTGGGAAATGACTCTTGGTGACGTGCACCTGAGCGAATGAATAGACTTGACAGGGCTGGTCTAAATATACATACTATATATATATATAAATATATCATAGGAAGGGACACTGCAGTGGCCTCTGTGTTCCAGGCCCTGGTTCACCATTTCTTCGGAACTTTGGCGAAGTAATTATGAGGTCAAATAGTCTGTCCTTGTCCGTGCCCAGCAGCTTGCTCTCACCACGAAGGTGAGGAAGCAAGCGTAGCTGAAAGTGCAGACCATCAGCCTGGAGTGAGCCTCTTCCATTTGGATTCTCCCAACCCCTGACCGTCACCTCTCCTTGTCCTGAGAGGGCAAAGCAAAGTCAACGGGGGTTGTGGAAAGCAAACCCGAGTTCTCCAAAAGTTTCTGCGGTCGTTTGCTCCGTGTTTTCATGTACAACAGGCTCTGCAGAGTCTGTGCCGACCCCCAGCCGTGTTCATAGGGCTGTGGCACAGCAGCTCTGGGGCTCGGGGTCCTGTTGGAGAGAAACGCAGCTGTCATACCAAAGGCTTGCTCTCTCCCCTGGCTTCTTTTGGAACAATATTTATTTAGTTTTGATTTTTTTTGTTGGTTTTTTTTTTTGTTTTTTTTTTAAAAATCAGACTGCGAAACGAAACGCCAGCCAAGGGCAGCTTTCCCCAGCGTGGGGCAGACACGTGGGGCTAAAAACACCATGAGAGCAGCCAGGGAGTGCGTGGCACCCTCCGCCCTACCCGCTTAACCCTCCCCAGTTGTAACCAAGAGGGGTGAATAAATAACCAGTGTTTCTACTTGAAGGCTAGTCGAGAGGTTTCCTGCCTGCATCGTGTGCTGCCCGCCCACCCTCTCCTCTTAGCCATGGATTTGCTTAGAAACAAGAGTTCAGTGGTGAAAGCCCAGATGCTCCTTCTCCCTTTGTTGCTTGGAGTTGCCCTCTGTGTGCTGGAACTTTTCACAGAGAAGTTGATTGATGTCGAGCTGATACAGAATAATGTCTTGGTTTGAATGCCTTGGGGTATAGAGACATCACAGCGACCATCCCGGGCACCTCCCCGAGCCCCACGTCTCTCTCACTGGCTGGGAGAGGTACTG